CCGCCTCCTCAGGCTGGGCCAGGCTCGACCTCCCCAGTGGGTGGGGCAGACGGCCAGGAGGGAGCCTGAGGGGCCAGCTTCCTTGGGGCGGGGGTGCTTCAGCTGGGCCATATGTCACCCATAGGTTAAGTTCCTGGGTTTCTTGTGCTGCGACCCAGGACCTTTGGATGGCTAAATTTTGTCCCTTGATACCTCTAGCTAGGCGGGAGGAGTAGGGACGCGGGTCTCTGGTGACCCTGTGTCTGCTCACAAGCATCTATGGATCAAAAGGCTTGTACCAAGGAGGTCCTGGGACCTGGGCCTCTCATTCCTGATCAGTGGTTCCAAATGAGGCACTACCCAGGGGAGTGCCCACCAATAGTAGGAAGAACCTGCTGCTTTTGGTATGTGAGCAGGTCGAGTGGTCTGGAGATGGGCGTTCTTTTCTCAGCCACAGACCCTTTGTGACTCTGCTTTGCCTATCAGTCCCCTTCCCAAGGCCCCATAATGGGTCCAGGATAAGAGAACTGTCCTGCCCTCCACTTTACAAGACATTTCCGAAGTCCTGAGGCTGTCCTTTTTCCCAAGGCTCATTTCTTAGTGTCACCATCCAGCTGCCCTGGTGTGCCTGTGTGCTGTTGGAGGAGCTGCACCCTGGGGGCCACCTGGTGACGCTACAGCATCCTGGGTGGGGGGCCCCAGGCAGCAACAGCAGTCCCTAAAGGAACAAGCCCAGGCTTCCCAAAGATGCCCACAAAAGCCAGCCGCACTAGGTGCCTGGGGACAGGAAAGGGCCTGCGGACTAGCCATTCTGAGCCCCCTTGTGCAGCAGTACATGTGGGGCCTCCTGGCTCCCTCACCAACCCCCTGCCTGGCTGGGATACCTCCAGACTGCACAGTGCTCAGTGGGCAAAGAGTTCCCATCCGCCCAGGCTCCAGGACTCTCAAATCATTCAGCAGGCTTCCTTGCTGTGATTCCGTGAAACGGGGTCACCTATATTTCCCAGGCTCTGATGGGCATCAGTGCACAGCTGGACCAGGAGGTGCCTGGGAACTGGGGCACATTAGGTGGAGGGATTGTTTTTGTGGGTTTTGGGGTGGGGGAGTTTAAAGCTTAAAGCCTAAAGCACCAGTCCTCGGCAGATGGCTGCTCCTTCTGGCAAGGTGGGTAATGAATATGTCTCTCTGGCCTGTGTTTAACTCCTCCCTCTCTGGGCCCCTCCTGTGTCCCCTGGCTGAGGGTGTACTCCAACCCGGGGCTCCTTGGAGGTAGGGGGCAGGCTGGGGTCCAGGGCCATACCACAGATCCCAAGACAGCAGATTGAGGTAACCTCAGATGACCCCAGAATGCCTCATATTCAGTGGGATGCAGCAGCCTTTCCAGCTCTTTGGGGACACTCCGGGCTCAGACCTGGGACAGGTCACTGAGGATGGTGGGCAGCGACCCTCACATGCTTTGGTGTGCTAGTACTAGGGCTTTCAGATTATTTCTTACAATTGGACCCACAAATGCCACCTGAGGGTATTTAAGCTGAGATGGATGTGAATCCTGGGCTGATCTTAGGTCAGATGCAGGTGGGGTGAGGGTCCCACTGCCAAATGAGGAGGAACATTATCATGTGGTTTGGCAGGTGCTTAGGGGCCATGCAGCAGGGCCAGGTAGGTAGGAAAAGAGGGGGTGTTGGAGAAGAGAGAGGCCCTTGGGTAATTAGGGTTGGGTCCCACCTTCTGCCACATCTTGGGTTTTCCAGTCCTGGTCACACCTGCTGTCCTGGAGGCCTTGGGGTTCAGAGTAAGTCCTTCTGCTAACCCATGAGGGTCAGTAGCTTCTGTCCATTCCCATGTGAAGCGTCTCAAGATGCCATCTACTCTTGTGAACCAGAAACCCCATTCTGGCTAAGTCAGGGACTCTACAACCCCTTTCATCTCCCTACCCAAGCTAGGCTTGTCCCCCACCATGTGTCTAGGCTCAGCCCCCTCAAGCTGTTACAAGGTGCCCCAGAATCTATACCCTCAGCTGTAGGCCATAGCTGTGACTAGCTTCAGCAATTCTTGGTGGCAGAAGATTTTGGGGACAGAATGATTGGTTTCTCTTGCTAATGAGCTGCTGCCATATAGACACTGAGCAGCCACCCCAAAAGCCTCTTTATGAAATCAGGCCACTAACTGGGCCGGCCACTAACTGGGCCACTAGGTGAACACACACAGGGATTCTGCTAGCCTAGAAATGGCCACCCTGAGCTGCAGAGTGCTTGATGGGCCAGACCTAGAGCAGGGTGACTGGCCATTCTGGACCCCCTTGGACAGCATGTGGTGTTATAGAGGGGACCCCCCCCCGCACTTGGGACACACCTAGACCTTGGACAGATGGTGCCCCATGTTTCAGACCCTGGTACTCTCAATTAACTCGAATCTATGGTGAGCCTTGACATAGGCCTAGCCATGATTGAACTTTGAGTCACCTCGCCCGCACGGACGTGCTCTCGCCCATAGCCCACGGGCGAGTTCAGCTGGTAGCAAGATGTAACCCATAATGATTGTTATTGTTTCCCTCTGGAATGTGTGGGCGGTACTCTCTCGCTCCCGTGCAGCTCTCGCTCCCATGCAGCTGGAGAGTATAAAAGGGAGAGGTTCTGAACCAAAGCAAGCAAGGAACATGAAAAGAAAAGTGCCTCTCGTCTCTCTGTCCACGTCCTTTCAGGTTTAGGACCTGCTGGCAGGATCCTGACGTCGCGTCTCGCGACAGAATCCATGCACAGCTGAGCCTGGACGAGAAGCGCAGGGCTGCCCCACACTGACCTTAGGGCTCAGGCCAAATCTGCAGGGTCCTCAGCCCCTTTGGCAGGAGCAGAGGCCAAAAGAAGCCTCAGTCCCCTGGGATTACGGCCTTGGGGTGGGGTGAAGGATTGCTGCTCCCTATGTTTTGGGATCTTTAGGAGAGATAGACTGACAGGTTGGGCTGGAGAGGGTCACCGTTTTGGAGGTTCCAAGCAGGGGATGGAGCAAGTTCCTCACCCTGACCCCAAACCAAAGGGAGAAAATGGGCAATACTGAGCTCAAACCAAGGAGAAGAACCCGGACAACCTGTGTCATGGGCTTCTGTGGAGGGCTCAGCAAGTGGCTGAAACCCAAGGGCAGAACAGTACTAGAGAGGCATTTGGGTCTGGGCAGCCCTTCCTGGAGTCCTGGGCACAAGGCCATGCTGAGGGGGGTATGGGGGGAATGACACTGACTGCAGAGGCTAATGTGGGAATAGGAAAATGCTTTTAATAAAAGCCATGTATTTTACCAAGTTAAATAGTTAAAACATCTAGACAAGCTTCTATAACAGAAAAAAATGATTTTCAAAAATAGATTTACAAAGAACAAAAATTAGGAAATCACAAGTGGGTAGACCTTGACTACAGCCATATTCTGACCCAGCTGTGGCAGTGGGGGCTTCACAATAAATGCCCCTAGGTTCTCGTGTTGCAGATCTCGGGGAAGCGCAGCTTCTGTTAATTTGGTGGATCTGGAACAACTTTGTTGTCGCAGGTAATTCCGATCACCTGACGATACTGCTGACTAGAAGACTACCGAAAAAAAGATGCCTCAGAGCTAACAAGGACCCTGCAAAGCCAAGGTCCCCATTGGATGTGGGTGCAGGAGACAGGGAACTGTGAAGACAAGTCCCACGCCAAGTGGCTGCAACCCGTGGGCCCTCAGACACTGGCTCCTTCCTCACAGCAGTGGGTCAGTGTCGCTTAGGGCAGTGGCTGCCCCTGCCTCC